TATATATATATATATATATATATATATATATATATATATATATATATATATATATATATATATATATATATATATATATATATATATATATATTCTGTTTTAACTATATATTACGTCTTAATTATATATTTTATTTTAAACAATATATATAATTACTATTTAAAATTTTTTTAATAATATTTTGTTTTAAAATATTATAAGATATAAATATTTTTTATAAAATATATATTATGTTTCTACAACAAATATTTAATAAACATATATATTATAAACACTAGAAAATATAATACATTTTCAGATAATAATATTTTTGAATTTAATAAATATTGAGACTAAAACAATAATATTTTCGATCTAAATAATATAACATATTTTCATATTTTTATTTTTTAGTTTTTAAATATAAAAAATTATTAAACTTATTTATATGTTTTATTTTATTAAAATACAAAAATATATAAATAATATATACAAAAATATTAAATAACATATAACTCAATATATATTTATTTATGAAAATAAAAAAAATAATACATTTAATCAATTTCATGAGCATCCGTCAACTTCTTAAGTCTCTATCAACAAATAAGAGAAAAATAAAATAAACGAAAAATCAAGAGTGGAGAAGTTTAATCATAAGAAAAAAAGAAAATATAATACATACCTTTAGTTTTGAAGTATGGAGCTTTGTAAAAATGATGAGGGAGGAGAGGAAAAATGAGAAACAAATGGTTGTTGATGGAGTTTTGAGGGGAAGAAGATGAAATTTTTATGTTATTGTTTCTTTTCCTCTTCTGATAACGTGTAGGGCGGTATATTGGAGTTATTAAATAAACAAATCAGTATCGTGAAAATGTAATTAAAGTAATCGTTAAAGGTTGCGACATGGGTAACATGTTATTATATCTGCAATAAAAATGTGTCAGAATGGTAAACTATTAGCAACCTGGGATTTATTTTGCAATAATAAAGTACTCTGTCCATCTGCACGATGTATCAGAAAGATTAACTATTAGCGATGTGGATTCATTTTGTAACGCTAAAGTATTTTATCCACTTACACCTCAGTTAGAACGCTTAGAGTGGTGAACTATTAGCAACCTAGGATTTATTTTGCAATAATAAAGTGCTATGTCCACCTGCACCTCAATCAGAACGTGTCATAACTTTAAACTATTAGAGACGTGAGATTCATTTTGTGATGATAAAGTACTCTGGCCACCTGCACTTCAATTAATTCAATAGATCAACATTTCTCACTCAAATTTTTTATTAACCACGTATTTTACACATCATAACCTCATTTTTCAAATATTTGAAATTTCCCTAATGTGAAAATCTAACGTTTATTATATTATTATTTTAAATCAATTGTATTGTATTTATCACATCACAACTCTCTTTTCTAGCATCACGCGTGGTAAAATTATTTCCCTGAAAAACTCTTTTCTTTTAGTGTTTTAAAGGTATGTAAGGTGAGTTACTCCACATGTTTAAAATTTGACACGTTTAAATCATAATTATTTTTTTTTATAAAATATTGGTCATAGGTAAATCATAATAAAATAGAATCATTATTTAAAATATATTAATTTATATAGAATTTTAAAAACAAATATTGACCAAATATTTGTGAGTCCGCACAAATAAATTATTTAATATGACATATATTTTATTAAGATATATATGTAAATTTGAAATGAGTTTTTAAATTATAAAATGAATAATGATAATATAAACTCAATTGTATTAAATAATTATATAAAAATTTTAAAAAAAATCTCATGAAATGGAGAAAAAAAACTTTAACATTTAAAAATAAAAATTATATCTCAAACAAAGTCAATTGTTAATTAAAATAAAATAAATATTTTACTGATAGTGACCTCTAAGAAAAAGAGAAAATTTTGACATTTGAAAATAAGAATTTTGTGTCTCAAATGAAAATAATTATTAATTAAAATAAAATAGATATTTTATTGATATGATCCGTGAGAAATTTTTTATTGATATATTAAAATAAAAATTTTGTGTCTCAAATGAAGATAAATATAATTATAAATAAAATAGATATTTTTTTTAGTTATCCATAAAAAAAAGAAATTTTAACATTTAAAAATAAAAATTTTCTATCTTAAATAAAGATAATTGTTGATAGTCATCTATAAAAAAAATAAAAATTTTGAGATTTAATAATAAAAATTTTATATCTCAAATAATAAAAATTATTAATTAGAATATAATAGATATTTTTTATAATGATTTATTAGATAGAAAGTTAATTATGTTTACCTCAACTATCGGAATACCAACACTAACTGAGACACTCTCTTCCTTCTTCTGGCGTGCCGTTACCACCTTCGCCAGCCGTCCGACACCCCTTTTGGGTCTAGCCATGACCCTAGCAGTAGTTCTACAAACAAATTATTTAATACGACATATATTATATTAAGATATATACGTAAATTTGAAATGAGTTTTTAAATTATAAAATGAATAATGATAATATAAACTCAATTGTATTAAATAATTATATAAAAAGTTTAAAAAAAAGCTCTTGAAATGGAGAACAAAAAAACTTTAACATTTAAAAATAAAAATTATATCTCAAACAAAATTAATTGTTAATTAAAATAAAATAGATATTTTACTGATAGTGACATGTGAGAAAAAGAGAAAATTTTGACATTTAAAAATAAGAATTTTGTGTCTCAAATAAAAATAATTATTAATTAAAATAAAATAGGTATTTTGTTGATATGACCCGTGAATTTTTTTTTGACATATTAAAATAAAAATTTTGTGCCTCAAATAAAGATAAATATAATATAAATAAAATAGATATTTTGCATAGTTACTCATTAAAAAAAAAGAAATTTTAACATTTAAAAGTAAAAATTTTGTATCATAAATAAAGATAATTGTTGATAGTCATCTATAAAAAAAATACATTTTGAGATTTTAAAAAAAATTTATATCTTAAATAATAAAAATTATTAATTAGAATATAATAAATATTTTTTATAATAATTTATTAGATAGAAAGTTAATTATGTGTATCACTATTAAGTATTATTTAATTTTATAAAATAAATTTTTAATTTTATTAAAATTTAAAAATAAATTAATTAATATTTTAATAATAATAATAAATAAAATTAGTTAAATTTATCGTAAAACAAAATTAAATATTAATATTATATACACTCATACACAAATAACAATTTAATATGGTAATTATATATTATAATTAAATATTTAATATAATAATTTTAAGTAGATAAAATAATAAAATAAAAAAAGAAAAAAAATAAGATGATGACGGAAAGAGTGAGAAGCAGAGAAAAAAGAAGTAAAAGTTAAAAAATTTAAATAAAAATTCCACACTTAGTAGCTTTTAATTGAAAATAAACTGAATTAATGAATAGATAGTTGAAGAGAACGTTTTTATATTGTATAGGTGTTAGCACGTGTATGAATCTAAGTATAGGTATTTGGTCAAAACTACTGTATATCAATATGAGAATACGTACCTTTTCAAAACAATGCATAAAATAATACCTATACGGTGCCGCCTCTATTATACTCAGCAGGATGGGCCGTACTAATCGGATCGATATGAAAATCTGTAAATAATCTGAGTTTGAACACATAAAAAAAATGAGTCTGTTTATTATTAGGGTTTGAAGTTTGATCCGTTAAAAGTCTGAAGTCTAATTGAGTTAATTCAATCGAGTTACAGATAATTTATTTTTTATTTATTTTTTATTTACATAAATTCTATAATATTTTATTAATAATACTCTTATTTTTTAAAATATATTATAATAATATTTAATTTTTCACACTAATCTCAATTAAAATTTAGTTTATATAAATATAAAATCTATTTAATTTGTTTTAAATATTGAATATCATTGATAAGAATGTTAATTTTTTTCTACATTTTATAATTAATAAATTATAATATATAAATTAATTTTATTGAACTTTATTTCTTAAATTAAATATGGTGAGTAATTCTTTATATTTAAATCTTGATTATGCCATTGAAATAGTATATTTATGTGATGATTTATTTTAGATGTTACGTATGTAATTGAAATATATTATTTTGTTATACTCAATATTTATATATATTTTAATTTTTTATTATATTATATATTAATTTTTTTTATTTTAAAAATAAATATTAAATATAATTTATGTCAATTCGAATAACCGAAACCTGTGAAGCACCAGACTTAGCCAATTTAATTTTAATCTGTTTAAATTTCGATCAAAAGGCTCGAATCTGTCACAGATCAGTTCAAAGCGAATCAAGTAGTCCGAATCATCAATTCTCTAATTAAAGTCTATCTAATTAATCTCAAACCGGATTGTTATTTTAATATGTCTCTCATGTGAATAATATTGGTTTTTTTTTTTTTTTTTTTTGCATTTTCAACATGTTTTTAACGCCACAAGTTTTAACATTTTTAGTATTTAGAAACAAGGTTTTTTTCATTTTCAGTATTTAGCGACGATTGTTAAAAAGTGAAAAAGAATAAATAAATAACTACATCGTTTACGTGAGAAACCTACAGTAGCCCAACCCTTCAAACCAATTCATAAATCATCCGTTACAAGAAACTTTTGCGTGAGGGCTTTAATTTGACTTTTATGTTTACGAATACAAATAAAATATTACTATTGTTCATTGACTAAAATATAAACAAAATACTGTACTCCATTTGAAAGCATTGTTCTAATTTGACATTTGAAGGGTGTTAATGATAAGGGTGAACGGTTGGATAAGGAGCTATGTAATTATGTAATTATGACGTTGGTATACTATTATTGTTTGAACTTTTCCTTATCCATAAAAAAATATTAATATAGTAGTACTATTCTTTTCAAAATAAAATATATTATTTGTTTATGCTATGGATATGAGACTTTTTATTTGCTTTTGGCACTATAAATATGAGACATGAGTTTCACCAATTTTGCAAAGAAACATGGCTTTAAAGATTAGTACTATCCTTCTTCTACTTTTCGTCTGTGGTAAATTTTGAACCCACAACTCTCTTCCTTTTAACATTAAATTTCTGTTTCTTTTCTTTTTGATTTCATCTTGTAAATTATTTTAGCAAATTATTTATATACTATATATAACTTTTGTGTTTATGATTCAGGTGCAATTCTTTTGGGAAACAATCTGAAAGTTGTCGATGCTCAAAAAATATGTCCCCAATTTTGCTATGATGATCGTTCATATATGACTTGCCTTTCTTCTGGTGATCAGCACCTCAATCCAGCATGCAATTGCTGCATTGCATCAACTGGATGTACAATTTACAAAGATGATGGAACTCCTATTTGTACTGCTGATTAAAATATGGTTGTGATGTGAATGACTCTTCACATACACTAATATGTACTCTTATAAATTTCAATAAATATGTTATAATATGTATCATTATGTAATTACAATAAGTTGTTATATGAAAAATAGTACAACACTTATTAAGTACTATTATGTTAGGAAACTATGCAAATATTCTCCATATTATTAAATTTGTGGAAAAATAAAATAATGAAGCAACACATTAAACTTAATATAGTAAAATATACAAAATGTTTAATAACAACCACTCTCTCACAAAATCCACAACTCAATTATACCTAAAAAGAAAGAAAAAATTTCTCAAAAATTTCTCTCGTTGAAATTTTTCTTCTCTTTCTTTGTTAGATGAAACTTACTGGTTGTAACTTTACACTTATTTATAAAAAAAAAACACGGCCTTTAATCAAAAAAAGAAAAGATAAACAGTTATAATATAATTACTCATTAAAGTTCTCGTAATCTTCCTTATTTCTATTTATTATTTCTCTTCTTTTATTATCCTTCTTTTTCTCTATTTTGAGCTATAATCTTTTACTTGAAGAAGGATTTCAATCGGTCTTCACATCTCGATCAAACAACTGTTAAAAGTAATTTACATTCAGAAGTATTTATGTTAGTCAGAAGCAGAAGCTTCTGAGGTTGTGTCTCAGAAATATATTTAGCTTCTAGGGTCTTAGTTTGTTTTTGTTAGCTTAGCTATTAAGCATGCTTTTGTTAGGACTTACGTGCCAGTTTATTTTGTGTATTTAAACAAGTTTTTAACTAGGGTTTTTAATGCAATTGTGTATAGAGTTTATTTCTCAACAAGTTTGTTACAGTCGTCTCTCTCTCTCTCTCTCTCTCTCTCTCTCTCTCTCTCTCTCTCTCTCTCTCTCTCTCTCTCTCTCTCTTCATTTTTATCTTTAATCTTGTGCACCAATAATTGGAATCTAGAGCTCCGGTTCGATTCACAAGGAAACACGAGTGTACGTGAGGCGGGTGTGATTGATTTTATTGTTTGAATTCACGTTGAATTCACCATCGGAATCAAATATAATTGCATTTATTGATTTTGCGTGATTGGGAAACACGAGTGTTTGGTGAGATCTGAGTTTGAGTTTCAGTGCACAAAATGAAGATGAGTGGGGGAAACAGTTTAAATACTAAGTTTTCGGTGTTTGATGGAAAGAATTGGAATCAGTGGATGATTTAAATGTGTGTGTTGTTCGATGCTCAAGACGTTCTTGATCTTGTTACCGAAGGTTATGATCCGGTTGCAATGGATGTGACAGAGGAACAGAGAAACACATAGAGATATATGAGGAAGAAAGATCAAAAAATGTTGCTCTACATTCATGAGTGTGTGGATGCGAAAGTGTTTGAGAAAATCGATGATTCAACGACGGCGAAGGCTGCGCAGAATATACTGACACAGTGCTACGTCGATGACGTGTTAGTGAAGAATGTGAAGCTTCAATATCTATGTAAGTAGTATGAGAATCTCAATATAAAGAACAATGAGAAAGTATCTAATTACATCTCTAGAGTGATTTTGATCACAAATGAGATGAAATCGTGTGGAGAAACTTTTTCTGGACAAGTAATCATTGAGAAGATATTGAGATATCTTAATTCTCAATTTGATTATATTGTTGTAGAAATTGAACATTATAAAGATCTAAGCACCATGAGAATTGAAGATCTGCAAAGAAGTCTAGAGGCGTAAGAGTTACGTCTAACCGAGAGACCCTCTAAAAGAGAGGTTGAGCTGGCTCTGATAACTTATTTTGTCAAGAAGGACCAGAAGACTTCTTGGTTAGAAGCCAAGAAGAGACATATGGTAGTTATAAGAAGTCAAAAGTCTTCTACTATAATAAGAAGAAACATCAAAAGGGAAAGAAGAAGTTTGACAAGAGAATGGTTCAATGTTACTGTTGTAATAGGTTTAGCCATTTTGCTAAAGATTGTTGACCAAACAAATAAGAAGCATAAATAGTAAGAGGAGATTCTGATGATGAAAATGTGTTATTAATGACTTATGAATCTGATGAGGAACCTGTGCGATTGATGTTTTCTGATTCTGAAGGAGACTATGAATATAAGTAAGAACCACAAGATAACTCTGAATCTGAAGTCAAGTCTGATTCTGAAGATGAGTCAGAATCAGAAGAAGGATTTGAAGTTGAAGTCAACAGAGACGTTATTGTGAAGGAGTCATAAGAATGGGATTGGAGTAAGCCTCAATCCAACTCTGGTGTAGTGTCAACAACTGAGGTAACTTCTGAAGATAGTTCATAATCTGAAGATTCTGAAGATGAGTCAGAGTCAGAAAAAGATTTTGAAGATGAGTTAGAGTCAGAAGAAAACTCTGAATATGAGTCAGAGTCAGGAGATGATTCGGAAGGTAATAAAGATGAGTTAGAGTCTGAAGGTAACTTTGAAGCAGAAGGTGACTCTAAGGCAAGTTTGATTCTGAAAGTGAATTTGATTCGGATCTAAATTATGATGATGATCCAGAATCTGGTGGTAATCCAATTTCTGAAGGTGGTCGTGCTTTTGAAGGTGGAGTTTATGAAGATGGTCATGCTTTTGAAGGTGGAGCATCTGGAGGTGGTCTAGCCTCTGAAGGTGGTCCAGCATGTGATATTGTTTCAAAATTGGAAGAAGATTCTGAACAAGTTCAGAAGCCACAAAGAATCATACAAATACTAATAAGATTTGCAGAGTTTGACCTGTTGCGAGAGACAGAAGTAAACTATGAGGGAGAGGTCGTTCAATGTTCTATGTTAGTAGACTCTAAACTAGTTAGTACTGGAGAAGCTCTCAAGAAGAAAGTGTGGCTGAAGACCATGGAAGAAGAACTTGAGGCTATAGAAAGAAACAAGACTTGGAAGTTGACTGAGCTTCCAAAGGAGAAGAAAGTCATTAGCGTCAGATGGGTTTTCGAGGTAAAGTTAAAGCCAGATGGATCAATTAGAAAACATAAAGCAAGGTTAGTAGCAAGAGGATTTTTACAGAAACCTAAATTAGTTTACTTTGAAGTGTTCGTGCATGTAGCTAGACATGAAACAATAATACTAGTGATTGCCATAGTTGCTAATACAAATTGGCCTTTGATGCATCTAGTGTGAAATATGCATTTCTGAATGGTCCATTACAAGAAGAGGTATGCGTTTTATAACCTCCTGTATTTGTGAAAAAGAATCAGAAAGAGATGGTCAAGTACAATAAGGTGTTGATGAATGAGTTTGAGATGACTTATATGGGAAATATGGTGTATTTTATAAGGACAAAGATTTTGTACTCTGAGAAGCGTATAACTTTTCATCATGTGAAGTATGAACTTGAGCTTCTGAAGAGGTTTGAGCTAACAAATTGAAAAACTGAAATCACATCTGCTGAGATGAATTACAAGTTGGATTCTGGTGTTGAGGGTGATGATGTAAATGCAAAAACTTTCAAATAGTTGGTTGGCTCATTGAGGTATTTGTGTAACACCATACCGGGCATTTGTTATGCGGTTTGAATTGTGAGTAGGTTTATGAACAAACCAAAGTGGTCACATTACCAAGATGATGTCAGGATTCTGAGGTACATTAAAGGAACTTTGAGGTATGGAGTGTTGTTCACTTCTGGTGTTAAATCGGATGTAGAGATGATATGCTATTTAGACTCTGATTGGTGTGGAGACAGAGTTGACAGAAGAAGTATTTCTGGATACTTTTCAAGTATCTGGGAAGTCTCATTTCTTGATTCTCCAAGAAGCAACATGTGTTTGCATTATTAACTTGTGAATTTGAATACATCGTAGGTGCTTTGGCTGTGTGTCAAGTTGTTTGGCTGATGAATTTGTTGTAGGATTTGAATATCAAGGTGAGCAAACATGTGAAGTTGATGATTGAGATAAAATCATCTATAAACCTTGTCAATAACCCATTGGTGCATGGGAGAAGCAAACACATTCACACTAAGTTCCATTTACTGAGAATTCAAATCCAGAATGGAGTGCTAGAAGTTGCACACTATAACATCCAGAAACAACTTGCATATGTTCTGACAAAAGCTGTCAAGACTGAACACTTTATCCATTTGAGGAATGGAATTGGTGTTTTTTGTATCCTAATTTTTGACCTAATATCCCACATCCTTTTTGCATCATTAAGAAATCATATCATTCGTCTATTATACCACCAACCTCATAAAAGTACAAGGATTTATCTTGTTTGTTTGTTGCTTGTACAAGGTAGGTGTATTGGGTCAAGAGGATCCAATAGTTGTTTGATCAGGGGAATGTTTATTCCTCAATGATTTAAGCTCCTCATTCATTTTTATGGTCAAATAATCATTATCTTCATCACAACCTTATCACATTAGCGTTTCATCATTGGATTCATCAAGTGATTGAAGAGGATTAGGGTTTTGCTTCTTTAGATGAAAAATGAGGAATTAGGGTTTGAGGTCTTCAATTGTGTATCACTCAAGGCTTCATCATATCATCATCTTATGAACTTCAAAGATATCTTGACATGCTAAGGATTTCATCATAATTAAAAGTTTTCATTGAAATGGGACAAATTGGATTCATATGATACAAAGTCAATGCAAGGTCAAACTTTGACTTTTTAGTCAAATATGGACTCCTCAAGTTAAATATCATAAAAATGTGATTAATATTTGAATTTTATCAAGAGGAATCACAAAATTTGATATAACTTATAAAAGGGGTAAAGTGGAAGATGTTGGAAATTTCACCGTCAAAATTTGGTGTTCAAAGTGCATGACTTTCCAAGCTTGTAACTTCCAATATAAGCAACCATTTTTCATGTCCAAAAGATCAAATTGAATATCTTGCTTCATACTACAACTTTTCCATATGGGATGTGTTCCAAAAAATGTATGGATGAAGAGATATGAGACCATGAAGTGGAGGATCCATTTGTTTTTGAATGACAAAACACTTGGTGAAATTTCCAAGTATTTTAACCTTGTGAAGTACCTAACTTTATGCC